TTTTTTTTTAACTATCTGTTATTTTAGAAAAACTGATGATGGTGGAAAAATACACCGAAACGTATTTTGGTTAATAAATAGAGACAATAAATGACTGAAACCCAGGAATAGATTTGATTTTGAATTGAAATACAGTCAGGAAAGTATATACTTATAAAGTAAAAAAAGTTGCTGATTTTGGAAGTATATACAGGGTGATTTACGAAGACGGTGCATTAGAAGTTTTCCAACTCGCAGTTGCTTTGCAAACGTCAAATTCTGTCAGCTGTCATCACAGCGTTCCATCTAGTCGTATAGGGTATACGAACAGTATAACCTCACTTTCTTATTTTAAATGCAAACTCCTAATTTATTGGGCGTGTTCTTATTTTGATTTAGGATTCTTGAAATTTCACTAACAATGAACAACTTTAGCATTTAGGTACCACTTACTCATACATTTCTCAAGAAAAATTACGTTGAGGGGAGTGTTAACTTATGAGGAAACACCCTGTACAAAAGCCAGCGCATTGAAGTGTGTACATCAATATATACGGGGCCACCAGATGTGAGTGCGAATATTATGTAAAACTTTGTTCAACGATCTGGACCCCCTGTATACAGGCTATTAAAGATTCTCTACTGTTAAGTGGCCCAGTGCCAAACGACCTGAATAAGGTCTAATATCGAACATTGAGAAATACATATCTACTAACCAGTTAAGCGATAACGCCCTGTACATAATGTAAATGTTTTTTTACTTCGTTTTAAGGTTACCAGAGGAAAGGTTTAGTGAGACGTGGCGTATATTCCCCAAACTTGTAAGTTAGGAAATGTTTTTGTTTTCGATTGTATTTGCTCAATTGCAGTCTGAGTCTAGTTAGTCTAACGAAATTATGATCAATTAATGTTTCGTAAAAATTAAAGATTGTTATTTTACCAATGACGTGTTGCTGCTTATTTGTGAAGACTGCACAGTCCCAGAGTCCCCATCCCGTTCAACGAGGGTTAAAAAGCAGGGTTATTAAATCAAATCCGAACCTAAATTGGTGCAATATATCAAGCCAACAGTGCACTACATACATACCTATTGGGAAATCGGTCGTAAATAAATCATCAGATTGTTAATTAAACGTACATCTGCTTTCAGCGAATTGATACATTTTGATGGGGCGATGATAAATATGGGTCTAATTCCTTTCAGCGCATCCTTTGGCCAATTTGTCGTCATTGAATCAGCCCCATCAATTATTGCTTGGCCCAAATAGGGGTGTTTTATGGTTCTACTAGAGCCAATTCGATTACATAGCTGTCCCAAGCTATATGGCAGTGACGTCACCGTATGGACAGTTGCTCAAGTGCGAGATTGGTTCCAAAGAGTTGCTTTCATGCGCGTTTGCCAGCTTAACTCTTAGTTCCCGACTTTTTATAGAAAATGAACCGGTAAATTAAAATGATAACTTGAAAAACTTCACATTCTGAAAATTCTCCCATGCTTCCTCAAATTGTAACACCTTGATGAAGACATACGTTAATAGTAGGTCTGGGTGACACTGTGCTGTGTGGCACTTTTGTGTTGACGCCGCTCTGCGCATCAATGCGCCATAACGCCGCGTGTCTTACACCTTAAATGCCAGTTCACATTTAACCTCATTCAAGATGGCATACTTCGCATTGAAAGCGAGAGGTCGCTGTGACGATGCAACAAACATCTCTGACGCTGCAAGTCACTCGTGCTTGCAAAACGTCGCCACACAGAAATTCGTTTCCGCGAAAAACCAGTTTCCAGCAACCAGAAAGTGTAACTCTAGTGCTTCAAGCAACTGTTAGAGGCAAATTGCTTCGATCTCCACGAAAAAAAGTGGCCGACTTTTAAGTGCGGCCACATACTGGAGCGAATGGGGAAATGCCATCGAAAGCCCGAGCCGTTGAACCGCACCTTTTGCGGTTTTATTAGGGAAATGTGTCGACACGGTTTTGCTCCCAGTCTTACGACCCTGATTAATTAGCCCTCAGGCGTGCATCTAGATAGAGTAAAATTCAAATCGGTATCGTTTAGCGCTTTTACGCACTACGGACATTTCATTTTTCTGATGGATCGTGCAGGTGTTTCCCAGAAATTTTTCTCCACATAACAGTTCGTTCACCCAGAGGATTTTAAAGGAAAAAATCGCACTTGTCTTATGCTCGTTTCGTGTGACGTTGTAGTAATGGGGGGAACGAAAGGACTTTACCGAACAAACAGCGTTTTCTTAAGCGAAGTTGCGGCAATTAAACGTTTGCGCCAAGACTCGTAACGAGCAAGAAGCCATGTGTCCCCCCAAAGTGGCGCACTAAGGGGAATTAAAGCGGAATAAAAACGTCCAACTTCAAACCGTTTCTAATCAGAAATGCGACTAGCTAATGTGGCAAACTGAGCGCTAATTGGGCTACGATTTTAATCCTACGCTCGTTTTGCCTGCATTCGAATGAAACAACTGCAAGTGGAACTAGTGGAAACAAGTTTTATCGGGGTTGTTCTACAAACGAAGCATTTTCTATTGAAAACTCCAATTTTCCGGCTGGAACTGCAAAAAAATTTCCATTGTTGCGTGTTGGCAATTTTGCTGGAGGTCAGTAAGAGTAAGTTAAATCTCGCCAAGGCTATAAACTCATCACTTTGGTTGGCACAAGAAGAAAATGTATTGCGATTTCATTCAGTAAAAGCATCATCACCCTCTTCATTTTTATTTACCATTTCCATTGCTTGATCAGCTGCTGAAGATCCTTCCTGAGTTTGTCTATGGTTTTTGACCGTCTGATGCAGTTCTCCTTCAGAGCTCTTCAGCATCAGATGCTCCGCAAATTTTCAGAACCCAAAACTGCTCCAAATCGGGTTTGGACAGTTGGCAAATGAAGCTAAAGTCTTTACGTTTTCATCCACAACTGGTATCAGATTCTGGCGATTTTTTAAAGGGAAAAGCGCAGTTGAGTGAAGCAATTTGAGACCAATATTTACGAAGCTTCAAAAAATCATAATTCTGCGAGATTTTCACGAAACTTTCAGGAACTTTAGAATCACATATCCTCTAAGCATGTTGTAAATTTCAAATTGTTACGTGCTTTATTATGGAAGAGACAAATTTTTAGAAGATTGCCCGTAGTTGATAAAACTTACATTTTGATCCTGATGTTTACAAAGCTGTCAAAAATCAGGATTTCGAGTGATTTTCCTGAAACCTTCCTCATCATTCGAGCCAGCTTTCGGCTAAATATGGTGCAAATTTAAAGTGCTACTGCTTTAAATTTCAATGATACGAAAATTTTAAAAGGGCGGTTCTTTAAGCGGAAAAGCGTAGTTGAGTAAAACTATTTGAGACCGATATTTACGAAGCTGCAAAAATCAGATTTCTGCAATATTTCACGAAACTTTCAGAAACTTTAGAATCGCACATTCTCTAAGCATGTTGTAAATTTCAAGTTGAACTTGCCTTAGTATAGGAGATACAAATTCTTCACATATTGGGCGCAGGCAGTTGAAGAAACTTACATTTTGATCGTGATATTTAAAAAGCTGACAAAATTGAGGATCCTGGGTGATTTTGCTGAAACCTTCCTCATCATTCGAGTCAGCTTTCGTCTAAATATGGTGCAAATTTCAAGTTGCTACTGCTTTAAAGTTGAATGATACGA